TTCTCTTAACTGTTCTTCATACACTGACTTCTCTTCCTTCCATACCACCTGAAAAACAGTTCCCAAGAAAATTCACTCTCCCATTTAATGAAACCCTAGCATTCGCGCAGCTACATATTCTGAAACACAGGTACTCTCTCGATCCATTCAAGCTCCTACAACAAAACTCTTTAGACTGGGTGGCATATAAACATTTATTTCTCACAGTTCTGGGGGCCGGGGAAGTCCAAGATCAAAGGGTCAGAACATTCAGTGTCTGGTGAGGTGCTGCTTTTTGGTTCAAAGACAGTGCCTTCCCAATGTATCACCGCATGGTGAAAGGGGTGAAAACACTTTCTAGAATCTTTTTTATTCCTATTCATAAGAACTCTGCCCTCACAAATGCCTCTCATTTCCCAAATGCCTCACCTCCAAATACCATAACGTTCGTGATTAGGTTTCAGCATATGAATTTTGGAAAAACACATTTAGCCTACAGCAGGCACTTAGCCCTAAATTATATACAAGTGAAAATACACAAGTACCACATCTAGACTGAAGCTTAAGACTACATAATAGACCAAATTATAGAGAGGAGATTCTAGTGGATGAGGGACTACCTCTTCAAGGAGTGCTGATGCCCGTAAGAACTGTGTTTTTTATACACAACAAAGGAAGATGGTTCATGGCAAGTTGGCTCAAGGAGTGCCATTTGCATAAACTCGGACATGAGTAATGCCCCCTGAAAGAGTGGTACAAGAAGTTATGGTAAAGTTCTAGCCTGGGTAAGTGACTGTGGGAAAGAACCACACTATTTTTGAAGGCTATGAGGTAATTGGTTTTATTCTTTTCTGGGGAGAATAAAAAGTTGTAAAGAAAGTAAACCAACAGCCATTGATTTCCATCATTTTTGTGAAAACTCCCCTCCTTTAGCAAGACTGGAGAAAGCTAAGCTCCTGAGGCTGCAGGTGCAGATCACAGAAACACTCATTACATGTGTGCAAATTGATGTATGTATCACAAAATTCACATTTAAAGTCAAATGCAGGAAATAATAAAATAGTAGCCAAAGTACTCACTTACTCTGTCATAATTGTGCTTCTTTGTTCCTTCCCTCATGCTTAATTTTAAAATGTTCAGAAACTGTAGCTCAAGAAATTATTTCAATTAAATGTTTAGTAAGTAGATTATCTAGCTTAATAATGAATTGGAAAAAATGCACTCGTAAGTAAATATCATATGAACATAATTTTCAAGGGCCAGTTGATTATCATTCGCTGAATATCATCATCTACTTTCTTATTTTGTTTGACCTTGGAGCTTAACAAGTATCCAAAAAATAAGAAGGTGAAGAGAAATATTCCATATTTTATCTTTTGAAAAGTTGATGAATCTGTTTCTTGCTAATATTCTAAATAACTAGATAGGGAAAATAAGATGGTTGAAATTTTTGCATTAATATAGTTTTCTGAATATTGATAACTAAAGTCATTGAGGTTTTCTTACAGCTTTTCCTTTTGTTAAATCTGTTTGTTCTGCTTTTCCTCACCTTTCTCACCTTTCATTCTCTATTTTGGAAGCATTTTATAGATTTAAACTCAACATTTAATACCAGCTACTTTGAGAACTTACAACTTTCTGTCAGAACATTTAAAGAAAACAAAAAATCAAAGGGAAACACTTTCTGAAAGTATGCTATCTGAAGTACAGTCTGAGAAAAATTGCTGTTCAAAATTACAAAAAATGTTAAAACTGTCATTTTATGTTTTGAATTTACCATTTGCAAACTTTTGTGTCTACTGAAAATATCTTATGCAAGTTGGTGATTTATGGTGCTATCAGAAATTCTGAGAAGTGAGATATATCAACAAAGTAGTTTTTCAATCTTCCAAAATCTCAGAAGAACAGACAGAGCAACTAGTTCAGAAAAAAACAAAAACTCACACACACAGGTGACAAGGTATCTCCATGAGCCCTAAAGTACTAAAATACAAGTGAGTGAGAACCAACTAATTATAACTGAAAGAGCTACAGGACATTATCATCTGAGGAAGCAAGAGGATTTATGAGTGGCCCAATAGTAGGCAAACACTCAAACCTCGCAAATCCCCAAGTTATTGGGAAGAAGGATGGATCAAAACAAAAAGAGCCCCCGAAATTGGGAGAGGTTTTTGCCATCCAAATTTCTGAGAAGTACAAGGGGTGCACCCACAGCAAGGTGTGAAAGGCCTGTGAACTCCTAAAACTGTATCTAAATATCTAAAACACTTTGGAGGAAAAGATCTACATTTAGGAAAAACTGCTGGAAGGAGAATCCAAATTAATCAGTGTAGAGATGGTAAAAACAAGAGAATAAAGTTCAGTAGAGGAGATCTCAGAAAGAATGAGGGAATATTTTTGAATACTTCATTAAATAGCTAGAAAGTTGAAAAACAACAACAAAAATAAAGAAAAAAAAGAAATTTGAAAGTCACAAAACTAGAGAAAGATACCCTGACTTGTCATTGTCAAAATGGTAAATAAACCAATTTGACTTAAAAATGTGCAGCAACAGAAAGTATCTCAGTTAATTCCAACAGAGAATGATTATAAATGGACAGACAATAAGAAGCGAATAAAGTTTCTTCAGACAGTAAAAGCATGTCATAAACGAAAAAAAAGTCCCACACAAAAACACAACAATATACCTTAATATTACAAAATAAGCTAAAATTAAGAAAACTATAGATAAAAGACATTATAATTCAAACGTAGAAAACTCTTGCACATGTGTAATTGCACATCCCAAAGAAGAAAACCAACACAATGGAAGAAAACAGATACAATGCATTCTACTTCAAGAAAACATTCCTGAAATTAAAAGAGAAAAAGAAAAGCACCCTAAATTAAAAGATCATACCATAAGTTTATAATTCAATACAGAATGACTACCACTGAGACATATTCTCATAAAACATGTCTTAAAAGGCTTTAAGTTAAAAGAAAATAATTTTCCCACGTTCATGCAAACAGAGCAAGTCACTCATTTGAAGAAGAAAGTCAAACTCATCAGATTTTTCTGACAGTCACATTTTGTATCAAGAGAAAACTATGTACTTTAGGTAATCAGGCTCCTTTTCCTCATACCTAATTACTGCTTGAAATAATATTATTTTACTTCTTGTTAATTATACTGCAATCAAGAAGTTTATCTTTTTAAAAGTTGTCCTTATTTCTTTTCAGTTTTTGACAACTATATATTGTATCTACATTGTCAGTTCATCCTAGTTGGATTGCTAGTTAAAGTCACTATTGCTAAGAATAGAGAATTCACAGACAAACCAAGAGAAGAAGAGATTAAGATTCTTACATTACAGAATATTAAAAACCTAGAACAAAAATACAAACATTCCTTATAGCAAAAAAATGATAATATTAAGAAGAAAGACCACATAATGAAAGCATATATAAAATATTTGTGTATATGTTAATAGAAGATTATATGATTTTTTATCTAAGAAATCGGGAAATGTGAATATAGGTATACATATATATGTATCTGCTTTAAGTTTTTAATTGAAGGATAAAATATAAAATTTTAAAAAATAGTATTTCCCATACAAAGGAGATTGTGTTTCTTGGAGGAAATTCCAAGTCTGGGCAACAAATGTACAAAATAAGTCTAGAATATTGTATTACACCAGAAAGAAAAGGAGCTGCCAGCGTCATACACCAACTTGAACAGGCTACTACTGAATCAAAATGGAACCATTTCTACATAAATAAGAAAAAAAGCTGGAGCAGAGTGAAAGATATCAAATATGGTTAAATCCATAATTTCAAAATGATACCAAAAACCGAACAAAAACAGGAATAGGTTATTGTTTGAAGATGTTGGTGAAATAACTTATTATTTTGAAAACTGGTAAGTTAAGACAATTATAATAATTTATTCTATCTTTCCTATAAGAATTTTATTACTAGAAAATGTTCATCTAACAAGGAAGAAGCAATGATAGATTTTACCAACTTGATACCGCTAATGATTCGATGGATCTAGGCATTGATAGTCAACTGCTGTTAACAATGCAAAATAGGTAACAATTGAACATGTGACTCCTCATGAAAATACACAAATCACCTATAAAGTGTACTTACTAAAAATTCAGTCTGAATCTGATCAAACCCTAACTCTAAATACACATTAATAAGAAATAGGGTAGAGAAACAGTTCCAAAGACACCAAGGGAATTGAGTCTCATTGCCAAGTTGTGGGAAACTTTGAAGAACAAGTGACCAGTTTTCAAAACAAATAGTAAAGATAAAAGGGGATAGAAATGGGGAGGAAAGGAGGGAAGGAGCAAGAAGAAAAGAGAGAAAAAAAGCCTACAGGGAAAAGAAAACAAGAGATCTATCAATTAGTCAAACTTTATAGACTTTATTTGGATCATGAGTCAAACAAACAAACACAAAAAATTAACATGTGCAAGACAATTGGAAATTTGAAGCACTGTGTGTTTGGAAATATGAAAGAGTTATTGTAATTTATAGGCATTTTGGTTGTGATTTTTAAAGAATCCCTTATCTTTTAGAGATACCTCCTGAAATATTTAGAAATAAAATTAAATGGTATCTGATATTTGTTTCAAAATAATAAAGGAGAAGGGGAAGTAATTAAACAGATAGATAAAACAAGAGAACTCTGAATTAATGTATTGAAGTTGTGTAACAATTACATGAGGATGTTTCATTTTATAATGTCTACCGGCATATGTTTAAAATGATTCCAAATTCAAAGTTTATAAAAAGAAATAATTCCTTATTCTTCAGTTTAAGTAAAATAAATGTATTTCATTTTCCTAAGTAAACGCAAAGATTTTTAGCATGCCAGTTTATGGAAATCTTTCCTCTGGTAGCATAGTAGCCTGTTGCAATTGTTCAGATGCATCTTCTTCAACATTTATTTAATTAACTTATTTTACCATCTACTCTTCTGAATGCATGTGTCTGAGAAGCATTTCATGATTTGTTTCTGTTTTTAGGATTGTGGAAAAGGGGTATTACAGTGAGCGAGACGCTGCTGATGCTGTTAAGCAAATCTTGGAGGCAGTCGCTGTAAGTATAAAGCGACAGCAATATAACTCTTAGTCGTTTCTTTCTTTGACAGAATAATCATGTAACATAAATGCATGTAAAATAAAAAATTAAAATAAAAAACAAACAAAAAACGAAGAATGATAAACTACAAAATTTACAGCAGAAGAATGTAGGAAATATTTACTGGAAAATATGTTGGGATAAATTCACATTTTCCATCAAGTACTCAAATTCTGAAAAATGCAGTCCTTCTATTAATAAGTATGGCATAAGTTTCTTAAATTAATTTCCATTCTATTATTATGAGAACAAATAAGACTTTGGTGTCTTTAATTGTTTCTTATCTCTTTCTTTCCCATTTCTTGAGTTTATTTCTTTATGTTTTTATTGTTTTTAAATTTGGTTGGGAAGTGGAGGAAGATTGAATGTGATAAATATAGACCTTGGAGCATAGAGATTGTTGACTTTTCTTTCAAGACAAGAAATGAGTGAATTAGAAGGAAAAATGTAGCAATTTTATTTTTTTAAGGAATATATGTAAGTTGATATTTTTAAACTGGAACACAAATTTTGTAAGTTAATTGTGCAAACAAATGCACACACATTTTCAAAAAATATATTTTGAAATTTTTAGAAGCTTATTTGAATTGCATGAGTATCTGCCTAGATAAAACAGACTTCACTGGTTAATATGTGCTGGGACACTTTGGTGATTCATTTATTGACTATAAATCCTGAACAAATTATTCTCTGAACAATCATGAGAGGGCCCGAGGGCAAGATATTTGTCAAGGTCAGTTAGAGGCAAATCTATAAAATATGTCCAGAATTAGGCTATATTCTCCTATTCAGAGTTAGCTATCTAACTAAAATCATTATTAAATGTTTTGAGAAGTCAGCCACAGTGACACAAGCACAGGTCCTATGAATTCTACCCACAGTAAAAACAGGAGGAGAGAGAGGAAGGGAGGGAGGGAGAGAGGACCCTGATCTCTAACTAGTTTCTATACCAATGATAAAAGGAAAAAAAACCAAACAAACAACCTTCACAATCTTCATAGGGCTTCTAGAAATAGCCAGTCTGTGGTCTAACCAAGTCCATTATTGGATAAAAGCTTTGAAATGCAAGTGGATAAACCCTGGAGAGGATACTATGGAATTTTACTAAGTATACAGCACAGTTCCTAACTATATGAATATTGAATATCAAATCCATCTACTCACTATACCCTAAATAGCCACCTCATTCCAGACTTTTCATCACACACAGCATATTTGCCATTTCTGCTTTCCCAGGCTTGCACATTTGGGAATGGATTTCAACGTTTCCTTTCCTTTCTTTCCTCAAATTCCTTTCCAACTTCAGTTGAATCTTGCTTTAAATGTCCATGAGCCTGATTCTGCTCCCCATCACGCATCATGCTATGACTGTTTTCAAACATTTTTTAAAAAGCCACTTTTAGTTGCTTTCGATTCCTATTTCTTAAATGAATAAATCTAGAAATAATCTCCTTCAAACAGCATTTTTATTTTGTCATTTCCAAGATTAATAATGGCAGCTTCATGCTTTTCTTGGCTATCAGTTTTAAAGCCTCATTTCTTCTTATTATACAGCACAGGTGATCAAGTAAACTAGAGGCAATGACCCACTATCACTACGCAAATCAGTCAGGCAGCTGACATAGTAGTTAAGAGTGCTTTGGGAGTTAAATCAATTCAGATGTATGGACTTGGACACACATAAAACACCTTTGAGCCTCAATTTCCTCTTGTAAAATAGGCATCACAATCAACCTAATAGTGTTGTGGAAAATGTTAAATGAGACAACATATAGAAGTCAAATTTATACAAATGTACCCAGACCCTTGCTATATACTAAAATCAGAATTAATCGTGTGAGTTGTGTTCCTTGATCTGGGTGCTGATTGCACAGATAAGTTAGGTTTATGAAAATTCAGTATGCTTTTTCTGCATGTATAGCATATCAATAAAAAGTTTAAAAAATAATTCTGCTGAAAATTTAGTATGCATGTATAGTTACCACGGGTAATAAATGCTCAAGTCAGCATGCTGTGTGTGTATGTTTGCAATTTACGCAACTGGATTCACATACATTCCGATTTTTAGTCCTATCACATAGAGTTGTGTAACAGACAGATTATTATTTTTTGTTTCTGGGACAGTGGCATATTATAGTCTGATGCTACGTAAGATAGTGGGTAGGGCATGTGACAATGAGGGAAGAGGGGTATGTGCCCCTCCACCTAGCACTCTCCTCTCCTCGTGCCATTCTACTGACAAAACATTATTTCAAAATGTGATGATTATCAAAATAATTGTTCTGAGTGCTTCTTGTTTGCCTTCGGTGCAAAAAACAGAATGTTCACAGTCAGGAGAGGTGTACTGTAAGGCTACAGAGTCAGGCGTGTAAGGAGCCCATCCTCAGCCCAGACGGTGGTCAGCACTCTTTTCTTCCCCACCGCTGCTGTATTCTCATCATCGACTTTCCTCTGCTCTCTTCTAATCAACTTTATTTCTCAGGCTCAGAAAGTAACATATGGACAATTTAGCATTCCTGTATTCGTATGTTACAGTAAAGGCTCAAATCTGACTCAAGATGGACACAATATCACTTGATCTTAATTACACATTTCAGGACAGACGCTACATTTGGCTTAACTTGAGTCAGCCTGTCTTCGGTAGTCCAATCAGCTGTGGGCAGGGTGCGAGTTATGAAGTATAAATATGGCTGACTAGAACTGGTAAGGGAGGGTTGTTCTAAGGGAAAAGGACGGGGGTTTCTTGTGAGCTAGGCCGATACCCCAAAAGGCATACAACCTTTTACGACTATCTGTTCTGGTACTTCTTTTTTTGCTTCTACTGTTTCCTCATGTTCCTTTTCATCTTTGAATTTTCATTGCATTGTAGACATAATTTTGAATGACAGTCTGTTGTTTGCCATAAAAGCATGACTTCACTTGGAATATGATTTCATTTTGGCAGAAGCCATACTTGTTTATCATGTACAAACTAACTTTTCTATGACCGAATTTAGTCATTTCCCACATTCCCACGTTTCTATCTTCTTTGTCATTCAAGCTGTCTGTTTTACAGTAGATGTATCCCTGACTCTCTTGTTCACTGATACCAGCAAAGAACTCTTACGCGGCTCCTTTAATCATCTTCATGTTGGTAAATGGCATTATGTTCACCCTTGGTTTGTTTACCTCACATCCCAGTAATCCCTTTCAGTCTACTCCAAATTATAACTTATATTTAGCCATTTTTCTTCATCTTGACTAAGCCATAGCCTTAGTTTTAGTCTCCATCGTCTCCCACTCAGACTGCTGCAAGATCTTTTAACCTGCTTCCATTTGTCCATTCTTACATCATCCAGTTATTATTTAAATAATAAAATGAGTATATCATTTCTATGCTTACACCACTGACAGCATTCCATTAAAAGTAGAATAAAATCAACATTTTTAAACATATCCTAGGATGTCCTACATATTTAGGTTTCTTCCTACCATCCCTATCTCTCTGTATACCATTTTCATTCTCCGTACTGTGCTGAGCCACACTTGCCTTGTGTTCTGACTCTCAGGAAGATTTAAGTTAATTTCCGTCTCAGAGTATCTGTCGCTTGCCTTCCTGGAACCACCTTTCATCCCTTCTTTTTGTGGCTCACTTCCTTTACTTCTTTCAGGCCACTACTGAAGTGTTATCTCTCCAGAGAGTCCTTCCTGATCACTCCATCTAAAAGAGCGCTCACCACTATCTCTCCAAGCCATTTTCAACTCTATTACCATGTGTTATTGTCTTTTTGCATTTATAATTATTTGAAATTATACATTCTTTTGTCTGTAGGTTTAGTAGTCATTGTCTCTTTATCAAATAGGAACTTAGTGTTCACGCTTACATTCCTAGTGCCTAAAACAGTACTTGGCAATAGTAAGTGCTCAATAAATATTTACTGGATAAGAAAGTGAAAATTGATCAAAACCCGCAGAAATAGCTACCATTCTATATTTTGTCTTTCTAGATGATGACACATGCACTAAATACCTTTACTATTATTTTTCTTCTCATTTCATAGGAAACAAAGAGATATAATTTGCTTCCGTGCTTGAAATTCTTTTTCTGCTTCCTTGTTATTATTTTGTTATTTTCCTGTCATTCAAAACTCACCTTCTTCAGTATGTTCTTTTCCATTGCTTCCATCCATTTAGATCAGTTTTGTCTTGTTTTTTTGTAGAGACCAGGTGGCCCTCAGGCTAATCTGGAACACCTGGGCTCAAGCGATTCTCCTGCCTTCATCTCCCAAAATGCTGGGATTACAGGAGTGAGCCACGGTGCCCAGCCTTAGATCAGTTCTTGATTCTTTTGACTTATCACAGTGGGCATGCATAAGTTTAGTGACACCTCAGGTAGCTGACAGGAAACTCTATTTTCATTCAAGGAATGCTAAATGGATGTTCTCAGCATCAGGATTTTCTACCTATTGGAGTTATACCAATTAAGGAATGAAAGAGCTCAAGCATAGATGGCCCTGGGTTGGTGTGCTTCACAAAGAACAGAGGGATTAGAGTTCCTAGAACTCTGTCTCAGATTTGCAAAGATAAATTAGTCTACTGCTAATTCTACATTTTAAAACATTATTTTTTTGTACTTATAAAGTTCCAGTTTAGAAGCTAAGCTATCACATTCGAGTCAAACACTCTGAAAGAAGCTTTATAAAAATCACATTTGTTCTGACTACTGCAGCTAAGGGTTAACATAAAGAAAAAATTAAAATAATTTCCTCAAGTGTTTCACAGGTAGAAAGAAAAGCGATTTAAAACTTGTGAGAAATGGCTGGCATTTATGAAACAGTTTATTGTCAACTACATAGCTATAGATAGCTATAAAAATGGGACAGTTGGGAACTCAAAGTAATCAGTGATACATCTCACATTTCCTCTGGATCACACAGTTATAAGACTATATCTAGGCTGGTTGTTGAAAGCACAGAAGC